GAGGAAGAGGAGGAGGAGGAGGAGAGGAAGGAGGAGGATGAGGAGGAGGAGGACGAGGAGGAGGACGAGGAGGAGGAGGAGGAGGAGGACGAGGGGGAGGAAGAGGAAGATGAGAAGGAGGAGGAATATGAGGAGGAAGAGGAAGAGGAGGAGGAGGAGGAGGAGGAGGAGGAGGAAGAGGAGGAGGAGGAGGAGGAGGAGAAGGAGAGCCCACGAGCCGCCCCTGTCTCAGGCCCTTAATCCTTTGTTGACGGTGGCACGGGGTTCGGGAAGTGGATCGCGTGTCGCGCCGAAGCCCGGTGGGCCAGAACCCGCGGAGCAAGACGTCACGCCAAGGCTCCTGACCGTCTGGCTGTTTTCGACTCTGCGGCCGAAGCATCCTCCATTTTTCCTCCCCTGCGGCCGCCCTCTTCACTTCCACCTCTCTCAGTGTGCCAGTGGCGCGCCCCGACTGCTACCGAACGCGTCAGCGACCGCTGGCGCCCGCGGACCAAGAAGTGCATAGTTGACGTCCCCCGATTCCTGAGCAGGAAGACGATGCGGTCGGAGGCGGAGTTCACGCCCTCCCCGAGAAGAGCCAGCCCAATGACGGAGGCCCCCAGGACGGTCACGCAGTAGACGCAGATCAGGAGGACGGTTCTGTCCAGCAAGCCGTAGGCCTTGAGCTCCACGAGCACTAGCACCCACGACATCATGCACGCCGTCATCGCCGCGAACGCGTTCATGAAGGTCACGATCCTCGAACAACCCCCAAAGGCAGAAATATGAGCTTTTGGAGGTCCGCGCGGATTTCTTGGATCTGCGCTGGCCCCCCCTCCCTGACGCGCCGTTGCGGCGCCGAGGGCGGCGCTGGAGGCGCCGCCAGGGGGGGCCCAGCGCCGACCCAGGAAATCCGCGCGGAGCTCCGAGAGCTTATGCTTATGATCAGCGGCGAGCCCAGAGGGGGGAGCGAGAGGGGCGGGTCTTCTCAGAGGGCTCGGAAGACCTCGGGCCTTCTGGAAAGTCGTCTGGACCCTCTCCGAAGTCACGGGGAACTTCTCAGAAGGCTCGAAGGTTTTTGAGAAGCCTCGCCGCCTTCTGGAAGGCATGCCCCTTCTCATTTCCCTCTTGGGCTCGCCGCCAATGTTGGGGAAAAGGTACCGATACCGCTACTCCCCGGAACTCTTCTGGAGCGCGTTCTAATTAGAATTTCGGTGAGAATCCAGCCGTGGCGACGAGGGACCTCCAGGACAGGCAGCTGTATCAGTACCTTCTCCTCCTCTGAGACATCAAAATTCTTTTCTATTCTTCGAGGTCCGCGAGCTGAAGGACCTGCCGAAGTCCCGGCACAGCCCGTGCAGCTCGCGGAAGCCCTCCACCGTCTCGACGTCGCCCAGGTCCTGACCACCTACCAGACCACCCCAACCCAACCCGAAGACCCGAATCTGACCCGAATTTCAGGGTTGGGGGGGGGGGGGGGTACGGACACCATGTGTTCTTTCAACGTTCCCCGACCCCCCCCAAACTGGACGACAGACAGACAGACAGACGCCATGCACAACTTAGGTGCGTTGGCAAAAGTTGTGAGACATACTAGACAAATGGGTGAAACGGCAAGCGTGCTAAGCATAGGTGGAGGAGGAGGAGGAGGAGGAGGAGGAGGAGGAGGTAGGTAGGTAGGTAGGTAGGTAGGTAGGTAGGTAGGTAGGTAGGTAGGTAGGTAGGTAGGACAGCCCCGAGGGGAAGAGTCTCGCAAGACTAAAACGAACTACGCGGCCGCCGAGCGGCCGCGACCGCGGGGACGTGGCTACCACCTGAGGCGCCAGGTCCCCGACCGTCTCGAAGGACTAGAACATGCCGACGAGAACGAGGAAACCGAAGGCGAAGGACGTGAGGGGGACGACGGCCCGATCGGGCACTATCGCCATCCCCCCGCCGCTGCGGACGCCGCCGCAGCCGCCGCCCGGTCACGAACGACCCCCTCACGAACGCGGAAGGCCGCCGCCACGGGCCGCAGCGCGAGCACGCTCCAGCTGAACCACGAGGAACGCCCTGACACCCGCGGGCATGGGCTTCAGGAGCTCCCGCTCGTAGTACACGACCAAGGACGCGAGCTCATCGTCGCCTGCTCCGCCCGCCGCGGCCGCCTCTCCAGCAGCCGCCGCCGCAGGCTCCGCAGGAACCGCACCAGCACACGCACGACCAGACCCAGCCTCCGCAGGCGGCATGCCGCCAGCTCCAGCCGAACCTCCAGCAGCAGCAGGTGCACGATGCAGGCCGTCGGCCCACTCGTCGTCCATCACATCATCGACCGTGCCAGAGGCGGCCTCCACGGCCATCAGCGCGAGCCCACGACCCGCTCCAGTGGCCACAGCGGCCGCCGCGGCGCCAGCCGCCGCCGCAGCGGGGAGCACCACGGCCGTTGACGGGTCGGCATCCGCCCTGGCGGCCGCGCGCCGCGCCGCGCGGCGCTGGCGGCGGCGACGCCGCCGCGCAGCCCGCACCGCGGGATCCGCGTCTCCCCCAGGCCGAACGCCATCATCACCTCGAGCCTCGGCGCCAGCGCCAGCGTCACGCGGCCCCTGCGACGCGGCCATGGCGAAGGCCAGGGCCGAGCACGCGGAGCGGGTGACGGCGGCGACAGTGCGCCTCGGCGCATGGGCGTCCACCGCCGCGCGGACGGCCGCAGCGACGAGCGCGGCAGCATCGGCGGCAGAGAAAGCCCCTCTAACCTCGCCACGAGCAGCCATCGGGACGGCCGAGCTGGGCAAGGCGTGCGAACGCTTGAGCCAAAATGGCTACGGAAGAGGAGGAGGAGGAGGAGGAGGAGGAGGAGGAGGAGGAGGAGGAGGAGGAAGGGGGCTGAACAAAATGGAGGGCAAATTGAGGGCTTCGGGTTGGGTTGGGGTGGTTTGGTGGGTGGTGAGGTCCAGGACCCCGAGGGCGCGGATCTCGGGCGGCAGCGGCGGCCACATCCTGCGGTCGCACGACCGCGCGGAGAGGAGCGCGGTGAGCGACCTGAGCGACGAACAGGAACGGGTCCTACAGTCGGGGCGTTGACCTAAGGAACCCTACATAAGGAACGAGGCCCCTCTTTTCCATAAGCAAAACTTCGATTCCCCATCGAAATCCTAAGGACAACATAAGGCAAGCTACGGACCAATTAAGGAGCACGGAGCCCCTCCCCAACGAAAAAGGTTCCTTGTTCAGCGCCCCGACTATACGGCGGGTTCGTGCGGTGCCGGCGCGCGCACAGGTCTTTGACACCACATCGACCGTTCAACCTTGAACCGATCGCGGCCCCGATAGTTCAAGGCTGAATTCCGTCGGGTCCAGTGGCTTTACCGTGTCCCTCAGCATTTCCGCGTCACAGACTTCAACTTTGAACGTCTTCGCTGGCGTCGCCGGCGCACCAACGCCGTATGAACTCATACCGTAGCTTTGGTGGCCGTTCCATGGGAACCTCGGTGGCCCCTGGCGCTGTCTGGTTTGGGCCTGATCTGAACCAAATTTGACACACATTTGGGACCGGATGTGGACTGGATTTGGACTGGATTCGCACGTCTGCAAGGGAGACGAGGAGGAGCAACAGGCAGGGAGAGGAGTAGCAGCAGTTCGGCCCAAATGCGATCCAAAATCAAGCGAAGCTGATTTCAACGTCGCCGCCCAAGGCGCCCGTCAACGGACATCGAACATAGCGACCTGACGCGGTGGCGTACACGGCCGCCAGCGCGGTAAGCTACCTTGGAAACGAGGGCGCTCACGCGCGACCTCACGCTTGCGCGGGCAGCTTACGCGCGCATGTCCGCGCAGTCGAGCCCGCTTTTCTGCGTCGCCCACCTGATTATGATCAGGCGCCGGTGCATGTCGCGGATGCCGGCGAAGATTCGGTGGCAACTCGTGGGAGCCTCCCATACCATCTTGTCGGCTCTTGCGAATCGACGCTGTTCGACGCTAAATCGACGCGAAATCTGCGCTAATCGACGCTGACCGACGCTACATGGGCGCTACCCCATCGACTCCCCGACGCGAATCGGTTCTTAAGACAGAGCTACGAGGGTTCGCAAGGCTCCCATGACTTGCTACCGAACGAAGATGAAGCCCACGCAGGGGCCCCCGGAGAGCAACGTGGGGAGCAGGACGAGCGCGACCTGCAGATTGGTCAGCCAGCCGGCCCCGAAGAAGGGCCGGCCGCTCGCAAGCCGCCCAAAGCACCCCAGGAAGGCGGTGGCCAGGGCGCCCAGGGGCACGGCCGGTCCTGCCCTGCCGATGAGCGTCTTCTGCTCCCAGCGCACCGCCGCCTCCACGATCTCTCGGAACAGCTCCTCCAGCGCCACCTCGTGGGAGGAGGGCCCGTCGCACTCGGCGGGGCCCTCCACGGCGCCCGTCGGCGCGAGGCCCGGGGGCAGCTCCAGCGCAAAGTCGGGCGCCTGGAGCCTGGAGCCCTGGGAGTGCATGCACTTCGCGGCCGCCGGCTGGCGCCTGAGCAGCGCGTGGCACACGATCGCCCTGGAGCTCAAGCCTTGCCTCTTGGCGATGGTCTGGGCGCGGTGCATGGTCGTGGGCCACCTCAGGAAGCGCAGCTTCGTGTGCCTTGGTACCGGCCCGAGGACCGTGAGCATGCTGAGGTCAAGGAAGTCGTCGATCGTCTTCTGGCTGGGCTTGAGCCAGGACACCAGGACGAGCCCAGAGACCACGCGGTCCAGCCTCAGCAGGGTGGTGTCAAACTGTCGGTAGGAGGCTAGCGGGAAGTGTGCATACTTGATCGCCCTGGTGTTGTTCATCATGAACATTGCCGCGCACATCAGCCAGATCTCGGCCGCCGACGTGCCCTCTGGAGCCCAGAAAAACCAGATGACCAGAGCACTGCATAAAGATAAGCCAGACAACCAACCCACAGAAGCAAATAAAACCAAGGCACGGTACTCCTGCCAAGTGCGGCTGGACTTTGAGGGCCATGTCATCTGCCGGTTCTGTATCGCCTCAGAGGTCCCATAGTACACCCGCAGCAGCGGGACCCCAAGGGGCCCAAGCAGGCCGAATAGAGTCTGCCCGACGAGCTCCCGCAGGTAGACGCGCCCCTCGAAGTGCTCGCTGAAGACGACCGTCCACTCCAGCAGCCTGTCCCTGAGCCTCTCCACCGGGGCACCCACCTCGAAGGTGCCGCCACCGCCGAAGACCACCGAGCCACCCCCGCCTCTCTGCCCCGGCCGCCACTCCGCCAGCGCCTACTTTGGCAAGCAGGGCGGGGGCCCTGGCGGAGACGGGCTCGGGAACCCTATCGGAACACGGATTTGCACGGTCATGGCAGGTCTGCGCTGGATCGGATCGCGGGATCGGATCGGATCGAGAGCGGATCGAATCGCCAGCGAAGCGTCCCGAATCGGATTGGTATCGAATCGCCGCGTCCCGCTTCCGGCTGACCCTGGCCGATGCCGGTGATGAGAGCCGGATCACATCGAATTGGAATCGCGGCCCCAGCCGGCGAATCGAATCGCATCGAATCGGATCGTAGGCGGCCCTGTTCATGGTGCACCCCTTCAGACAAGCTGGTCCAACATAAGACCGTGGATCAAGGGATGGATGTACAACACTGGCATCCCCTGGGGAAGCGATGTTTGCACACCACCCCCACAAGCAAGTCGATCCGGCCTACGGTTCACGCGCGGGGACGGTGGTCATAAATCGGCCCCCGACTTGGGACAAATGGCCCACCCTGGGCAAAATCGGTCGAGTGCAGTCGGGGCGTTGACCTAAGGAACCCTAAATTAGGAACGAGGCCCCAATTTTTCCACGAGTTGAACTTCGATTTCCGATCGAAAACCTAAGGAAAATCCAAGGCAAGCTGTGAAACACTTAAGGAACACGGAGCCCCTCCCCAACCAAAAGGGTTCCTTCTTCAGGGCCCCGACTGTACATCGGATCGGGAAGAAACATCGAATCGAAGTGTGCGCCGGACGGGGCCGCAGCGGCACGGGTCCGGAATCCGAAGCGGATCGGCCGCGCCCGGATGCAACAGCAGCTCTGTGCGATACGGTACGATACGATACGACCACCGCTGCGGACGCCGCCCGGGCCTAGCTAAGACCAGGTGGGTGAGGCCGTGGTCACAAGAACCTGGTGTCTGAACTTTTTTACGGGTTCCGTCGCCGTTTTTTGACCGGTTCCAGCTCCAGTTCCAATCCTGGAGCCGTTTTTTTGCCGTTTCTGGTCGCCGTTTTTTTGCAGTTTCCATTTTCAAGGGACATTTTCTGGGAAACGGTGAAAAAACGGCCCTGCCGTTTCCGGGGCCCACAAAGGTCTGAACAACATGCAATGCGAGATGCGTAAAAAGCTTATAGAGGAGGGAGGGGAGGGAGAGGTCCTTGGAGTCGGTGTCGGCGCGGAGCTCGACAAGTTGTGCGTCTGTGTGGGAGGAAGAGGGAGGGAGGGAGGGTTGCGCCGGACCGTCGGAGCATCGAAATCGAATCGCATCGGTCCGACTAGAAGCGATGTCGAATTGGACCGATGGATCGAGAGGCGCCCTGCCTGGGTCGTCCTGGGCGGCCCACTGGGGGCCAGGGGAGGGCCCAAGAAGCTCGAAGACGCCGAACAACGCTGCAGGCCCTGCCATGCGCCGACTCAATGTTCTCACTCCGCGGCCCCAGGGGTCCCGACCCCCTTCCCCGGGGGCGAAAGACCCGTCAAGGCTTTGATGGGTGACTCCTGCCGTCGTCGACCTTGTCGTCGTTGTCTTCGTCGTGGTCGTTTTTGAGGTCGTCGTCGTCGTCGTCGAAGAGGTCTTCGCCATCGCTGTTGTCGTCCTCGTCGTCGTCGGCGTCGGCGTCGTCGTCATCGATGTCGTCGACATCGTCGTCGAGGGCTTCGACGTCTTCGCCGCCACCATCGTCATCGTCGTCGTCGTCATCGAGGTCTTCGCCGTCGTCCTCGTCGTCGTCGTCGGCGTCGTTGTCGTCATCGTCGAGGTTTTCGCCGTCGTCGTCGTCGTCCTCGGCGTCGTCATCGTGGTCATCGTCGTCGTGGTGGTCGTCGTCGTCGCTTCGTCGAGGTCTTGCCGTCGTCGTCGTCGTTCTCGTCGTCATCGTCATCGACGTCGACTTTATCGTCGTCGTCACGGTCTTCGCAGTCGTCGTCGTCGTCGTCGTCATCGAGGTCACCGTCGTCGTCGCCGCCGTCGTCGTCGTCCCATAGTCGACGTTGTCGTCGCCGTCGTCATCGAGATCGTCATCGTCGTCGTCGTCATCTAGGTCATCGTCGTCGTCGTCGTTCTCGTCGACGTCGTCTTCGGAGTCGTCATCAAGGTCGTCGTCGTCGTCGAGGTCTTCGCCGTCGTCGTCGGCGTCGTCGGCGTCATCGTCGTCATCGTCGTCCTCGAGGTCTTCGCCGTCGTCCTCGTCGTCATCGGCGTCGTCTACGCCGTCGCTCTCGTCGTCTTCCTTGTCGTCGTCGTCGTCCTCGTCGAGGTCTTCGCCGCCACCGTCGTCGTCGTTTTTGAGGTCGTCGTCTTCGTCGTCGTGATATTCGCCGTCGTTCTAGTCGTCTTCATTCTCGTCATCGGCGTCGTCATCGAGGTCGTCGTCGTCATCGAGGTCTGCGCAGTCGTCGTCGTCGTCGCCGTCGTCGTCGTCGTCGTCGTCGTCGTCGGGGTCGTCGCCGTGGTCGTCGTCGTCGTCGTAGTCATCGAGGTCGCCGCCGTCGTCGAACTGGTCTGCGGAGTCGTTGTCGTTGTCGCCACCGTCCTCGTCGTCGCCGTCATCGAGGTCGTCTTCGTCGTCGTCGTCGAAGTCTGCGCCGTCATCGTCGTCGTCGTCACGTCACAGTCATCCAGGTCACCGTCCTCGTCGTCGTCGAGGTCATTCTCGTCGTCGTCGTCGAGGTTGTCGTCGTCGTCAAGGTCTTCGCCGTCGTCGTCGAGGTCGTCATCGAGGTCGTTGTCGTTGTCGTCGTTGTCGCCGTCGTCGTCGTCGTCGTCGTTGCGATAGAGGTTGCTGTCGTCGTCGTCATCGAGATCGTCGACATCGTCGTCGAGGTCTTTGCCGTCGTTCTCGTCGTCGTCGTCATCGAGGTCGACTTCGTCGTCGTCAGGGTATTCGCCGTTGCGTGGTCGTCGTCGTCGTCATCGAGGTCATTCTCGTCGTCGTCGACATCGAGGTTCTCGTCGTCGTCATCGATATCGATTCGACGTCGTCATCTTCGTCATCAAGGTCGTCGTCGTCGACGTCGTCGAGTTCTTCCCGTCGTTGTCGTCGTCGTCGGGTTGTGCTCGTCGCAGCCGTCGTCATCAAGGTCGTCAATACCGTCGTCGTCATCGAGGTCGTTCTCGAAGTCGTCGTCGAGGCCTTCGCCGTCGTCGACGTCGTCGTCGTCGACGGAGTAGCCCCCGGCAACGAGAAGGACGTCGTCGCCGTCGTCGTCAATATAGTCTTCGTCGGCGGCGTCATCGTCATTAAATCGTCGTCGTCGTCGTCAAGGTCGCACTCGTCGTCGTCGTCGAGGACGTCGTCGTCATCGTCGTCGCCGTCGTCATCGAGGCTGTCGTCATCGTCGTCGTCATCGAGATCGTTCTCGTCGTCGTCGCAGTCGTCGTCGAGGTCGTCGTCATCGAGGTCGTCCTAGTCGTCGTCACCGAGATCTTCGCCATCGACTTCGCCGTCATCGTCGTCGTCGTCATCATCATCATCATCATCATCATCAGCATCATCATCATCATCATCATCGTCGTCGAGGTCTTCGCCGTCGTCGTCCTCGTCGTCGTCGTCGTCATCGAGGTCGTCGTCGTCGTCGTCGTCCTCGTCGTCACTCTCGTCGTTGCCGTCGTCATCGAGGTTGCCGTCATCGTCATTGTCATCGAGGTCTTCGCCGTCGTCGTGGTCGAGGTTGTCGCCATCGTCGTCGTCGTCCTCGACGTCGTCGTCGAGGCCGTTATCGTCGTCTTCGAGGTCGTTCTAGTCGTCGTCGTCGAGGTCCTCGCCGTCGTCGTCGTCGTCATCGTCCTCGTCGTCGGCATCGTCGTCATCGAGGTCGCCGTCGTCGTCGTCGTCGTCGTCGTCGAGGTCTTCGCCGTCGTCGTCCTCGTCGTTGTCGTCATTGTCGTCGTCATCGTCGTTGTCACTGAGGTCGTTCTCGTCATCGTCATCGTCCTCGTTGCCATCGTTGTCGTCATCGAGGTCGCTCTCGTCGTCATCGTCGTCATCGAGGTCGATCTCGTCGTCGTCGACGTCGCCATCGAGGTCGTCGTCATCGTCATCGAGTTCGTTCTCGTCGTCGTCGTCGAGATCTTCGACGTCGACTAGGTCGTCATCGTCATCGAGGTCGTCGGCGTCGTCGTCGTCGAGGTCTTCGCCGTCGTCACCGTCGTCATCGGGGTCGTCGTCATCATCGTCGTCGAGGTCGTCGTCCTCGTCGTCGTCGGCGTCGTCGAGTTCTTTGCCGTTGTCGTCGTCGTCGCCGTCGTCATCGAGGTCGTCGTCATCGTCGTCACCATCAAGGTCGTTCTCACCGTCGTCGTCGTTGTCCTCGTCGCCGGTGTCGTCGTCATCGAGGTCGTTATCGTCGTCGCCGCCGTCCTCATCGAGGTCGTCGTCATCGTCGTCGCCGTCGAGGTCGTGTTCGACATCTTCGTCGTCGTCGAGGTCTTCGCCGTCGTCGTCGAAAACGTCGTCGTCGTCGTCGTCATCGGAATCTTCGCCGTCGTCGACGTCGTCGAGGTCGTCGACGTCGTCGTTCAACGTCATCGTCATCGAGGTTTTTCTCGTGGTTTTCGTCGTCGTCGAGGTCGTCGCCGTCATCGTCGTCGTCGTCGTCGTCGTCGGGGTCGCTTTCGTCGTCGTCGTCGGCGTCGAGGTCGCCGTCATCGTCGACGCCATCGAAGTCGTTCTCGTCGTCGTCATCGAGGTCGCAGGAGTCGTCGTGGTCGTCGAGGTCCGTCGTCGTCGTCCTCGTCGTCGTCATCGAGATCGTCGTCATCGTCCTCGCCGTCGTCAAGGTCGCACTCGTCGTCGTCGTCGCCGTCGTCGAGGTCGTCGTCATCGTCGTCGCCATCGAAGTCGTTCTCGTCGTCGTCGTCGAGGTCTTCGCCGTCGTCTTCGCCGTCGTCGTCGTCGTCGTCGTCGTGGAGGTCGCTCTCATCGTCGTCGCCGTCGTCATCGAGGTCGTCGTCATCGTCGTCATGGAGATCGTTCTCCACGTCGTCGTCGTCGTCGTCGAGGTTGTCGTCGTCGTCGAGGCCTTCACTGTCGTTGTTGTCGTCGTCGAGGTCGTCGTTATCGTCGTCGTCGTCGTCGCAGTCGTCATCGAGGTCGTCGTTATCGACGTCGCCATCGAGGTCGTTCTCGCCGTAGTCGCCGCCGTCATCGAGGTCGACATTATCATCGTCGTCATTGAGGTCGGTCTCTTCGTCGTCGTCGAGGTCTTCGCCGTCGTCGTCGTCGTCATCGTCGTCGTCGGCGTCGAGGTCGCGCTGGTTGTCGTCGCCGTCGTGATCGAAATCGTCATCATCGCCGTCGACATCGAGGTCGTTTTCGTGGTCGTCGTCGTTGTCGAGGTCTTCACCGTCGACGTCGTCGCCGCCGTCGTCGAGGTCGTTCCCGTCATCGTCGAAGTCGTCATCGAGGGCGTCATCGTCGTCGTCATCGAGGTCGTTCTTGTCGCCGTCGTCGTCGAGGTCTTCGCCGTCGTCGTAGTCGTCGTCGTCGTCGAAGACGCTCTCGTTGTCGTCGCCATCGTCATCGTCGTCGAGGTCGTTCTCGTCGTCGCTATCGGCGTCAAGATCTTCGCCGTCGTCGTCGTCGTCGGCGGCGTCGTCGAAATCGTCACCGTCGTCGTCATCAAGTCGTTCTCGTCGTCGCCGTCGCCATCGAGGTCGTCGCAGTCGTCGTCGTCGTCGTCGTCGAGGTCGTTCTCTTCGTCGTCGTTGTCATCGAGGTCGTCGTCATCGTCGAAGTCGTCATCGAGGTCGATCTCTTCGTCGTCGTCGTCGAGGTCTTCGCCGTCGTCTTCGCCGTCCTCGTCGTCGTCGTCATCGGGGTCGTCGTCATCATCGTCATCGAGGTCTTAATCGTCGTCGTCGTCGATGTCGTCGTCGTCATCGAGGTCGCTCTCGTCGTCGCCGTCGTCATCGAGGTCGGCGTCATCGTCGAGGTCGTTCTCGTCGTAGTCGCCGTCGTCATCAAGGCCGTCGTCATCGTCGTCATCGAGGTCGTTCTTGTCGTCGTCGAGGTCTTCGCCGTGGTCGTCGTCGTCGTCCTCGTAGTCGGCGTCGTCGACATCATCGTCGTCTAGATCTTCGCCGTCGTCGTCCTCGCCGTTGTCATCGAGGTCGTCGTCGTCATCGTCGCCATGATCGTTATCATAGGGGTCGTTCTCATCATCGCCGTCGTCCTTGTCGTCATCATTGTCGTCATCGAGGTGGCTCTCGTCGTCGTCGTCGTCGAGGTCCTCGTCGTCGTCGTCGAGGTCGCTCTGGTCGTCGTCGACGTCGGCATCGTGGTCGTCGTCATCGTCGTCATCGAGTTCGTTGACGTCGTCGTCGTCGAGGTCTTCGCCGTCGTCGTCGTCGTCGTCATTGTCGTCGTCATCATCGTCATCGAGGTCCTCGGCGACGTCGTCGATGTCTCGCCGTCGTCATCGTCGTCGTCGTCATCGGGGTCGTCGTCATCATCGTCGTCGTCGTCGCCGTCCTCGTCGTCGTCGGCGTCGTCGAGGTCTTTGCCGTCGTCGTCGTCGTCGTCGTCGCAGTCGTCATCGAGGTCGTCGTCATCGTCGTTGCCATCGAGGTAGCTCTCGTCGTCGTCGGCGTCGTCGTTGTACTCGTCGTCGGCGTCGACGTCATCGAGGTCGCTCTCGAGTTCGTCGCCGTTGTCATCGAGGTCGTCGTTATCGTCGTCGCCAACAAGGTCGTTCCCGACGTCTTCGTCGTCGTCGAGGTCTTCGCCGTCGTCGGCGTAACGCCGTCGGCGTTGTCGTCGTCATCAAGGTCTTCGCCGTCGTCGTCATCGTCGACGTCATCGAGGTCGTCGTCAACGTCGTCGTCATCGAGGTCATTCTCGTGGTTGTCGTCGTCGTCGAGGTCGTAGAAGTCGTGGTGGTCGTCGAGGTCTGCCGTCGTGGTCCTCGTCGTCGTCATCGAAGTCGTCGTTATCGTCGTCGTCGTCGTCGAGGTCGCACTCGTCGTCGTCGTCGCCGTCGTCGAAGTCATCGTCATCGTCGTCGCCAGCGAGGTCGTTCTCGTCGTCGTCATCAAGGTCTTCGCCGTCGTCTTCGCCGTCGTCGTCGTCGTCGTCCTCGTCGTCGTCGTCGAGATCGTCGTCGTCATCGTCGCCATGATCGTTATCATAGGGGTCGTTCTCATCATCGCCGTCGTCCTTGTCGTCATCATTGTCGTCATCGAGGTGGCTCTCGTCGTCGTCGTCGTCGCCGAGGTCTTCGTCGTCGTCGTCGAGGTCGCTCTCATCGTCGTCGACGTCGGCATCGTGGTCGTCGTCATCGACGTCATCGAGTTCGTTGACGTCGTCGTCGTCGTCATCGAGTCGTTCTCGTCGTCGGCGTCGTCGAGGTCGTCGCCGTCGTCGTCGTCGTCATCGAGGTCGTAGAAGTCGTCGTCGCCGTCGTCATCGAGGTCGTCGTCATCGTCGTTGTCGAGGTCGTTCTCGTCGTCGTCGGCGAGGTCTTCGTCGTCGTCGTCGTTGTCCTCGTCGTCGTCGCCGTCGTCGTCGAGGTCGCTCTCGTCCTAGTCGTCGAGGTCTTCGCCGTCGTCGTCGTCGTCGAGGTCGCTCTCGTCGTCGTCGTCGTCGTCATCGAGGTCGTTCTCGTCGTCGTCGTCGTCGTCGAGGTCTTCGTCGTCGTCCTCGTCGTCGTCGTCGAGGTCGCTCTCGTCGTCGTCGCTCTCGTCGTCGTCGTGGTCGTCGTCGGCGTCGTCGTCATCGAGGTCGTCGGCGTTGTCGTCGTCATCGAGGTCCTCCGCTCCGTCGTCGTCATCGTGGTCGTCGTCAGCGTCGTCGTCATCGAGGTCGTTCTCGTCGTCGTCGTCGTCTTCGCCCGGCCGAGCCTCGGCCGCGCGGGCCGCCTCTGCTGGCTCCAGCCTCTCCTCTGCCGGGGCACGCTGCGCACCGGGCGACCAGCCGGGTCGAGAACGGCGCCGACGACGTCGTCGTTGGGGTCTTCGCCGTCGACGTCGTCGTCGTCGGCGTCGTCGTCCTCGTCGTCGTCGTCGTCGAGGCCTCCGCCATCCTCGTCGTCGTCGTCGTCGTCGTCGTCGAGGTCGACCTCGTCGTCGTCGCCGTCGCCATCGAGGTCGTCATCGCCGCCGCCGTCGCCGTCACCGTCGCCGCCGTCGTCGTCGTCGTTTTCGCCGTCGTCGTCGCCACCGCCGTCGTCGTCGTTGCGCCGTGTGGGGAACCTCGAGCTCGAAGCCCAGACCCCTCGGGGCATGGAAAAAGCACGGCGGGAGGTTCCTGGCCATCTTCGGCCTCGGAGGAGAAGGAGGGGGAGGAGGAGGAGGAGGAGGAGGAGGAGGAGGAGGAGGAGGAGGAGGAGGAGGGGGAGGAGGAGGAGGAGAGGAGGAGGAGGAGGAGGTGAGTGGAGGAGGAGGAGGAGGAGGAAAAAGGAGGAGGAGGAGGAGGAGGAGGAGGCCGAGACCTCTGGGGCCCACGTCGTGAGAGAAGCACGGAGTCGTGGGCCTGGAAATCGGCGATACGTCGCGGGCAGGTGGGCGGCAAGGCCCCCGAGGATGGCCGACAGGTCGGAGGCAGATCGCCGACTCCTCCTCTCACTTTTTCACTCTTCCCTCCTCCACCTCCACCTCCTCCTCCTCTTCCCTCCTCACTCCTCCTCCTCCTCCTCCTCCTCCTCCTCCTCCTCCTCCTCCTCTTCCTCCTCCTCCTCCTCCTCCTCTTCCCTCTTCCTCCTCCTCCACCTTGGGCGAGCAACGACATATGTACATGTACGCCCTCCGCGGTCTTGCCTGCACGAACGTCCGCGTTGACGCGCACTCCAGGGGAAACTGACCGCGTACGTGTACACATGTGTTGCTGGCCTCTGAGATAGATCGGCGATAGATCGGAGATCGGTCGCTGAAGCCGCACGTTCCTGGGCGGGATGGATCACGTGTTCGGCCCCTACCGGCGAAGAATGGGCGATTGGGGGTCCATGCCCCTCCGCCTGAGGCCAAGCATCCTCCATCCTCCCTTAACGTTGCCCCTTGGCTTTCGGGCCATACTCGGCTCTCAGGCGGCCGTTCTGGACGTTTCGGGCACCCCTGGAACGCTCTCGACGAGGCGCAGCTGCTGGAGAGCATCCAGAGGCTGGAAAACCGCCGAGAAGCGACATAAAACGCCAAGGAATCCGACGTTACCCCCGAAACTCGGGGGTTCATAGATGCCCCCTGTAGCAAAGCGCCTTGTAATGAAAGCCGCCAGGGGCACCCGACGGCCGCACGGCACCGCATTCCGAGTGCATCAGCGCGGCAGCTCATCCACGTCCAAAGACACCCGAGAGCATCCGGCGAAGCGCACGGCGACTGGCGACATCGGCAGCGGACTGCACTGGCACACTCGAGTGCCAGTGTCGAGTGAACCCGTGCAGATTTCCTCCGTCGACCTGTCCGGGGCGGCGACCTGTCAATGCTTACCAGCCTCGATCGTATCCCTATCCCTAAGATTGACACGCCAAAAGGCGATGACAATCTTAGTGATTCGCCCTCAAAAAATAAGGGAATCCCTAAGATTGGCATCGTGATGAGGAGGTGCCCAGCATAGGGATAGGGATATGTTCCAGGCTGGTAAGCACTGGCACACTCGAATGCCAGTGTCGAGTGAACCCGTGCAGATTTCCTCCGTCGACCTGTCCGGGGCGGCGACCTGTCAATGCCCGAGGAACGAGCGGTGGTCTGGGCTCCGCCCCCCTGTCCCCGGAGATCCGACGCTGCCAACAACAAGTGCCGAGCCGAGTCAAGTAAGCCTTGCACCGGCCGGTGCGTGAGCAAAGTGAGACATTTGACAGGCAAGCCGCTGGTCACACTAAGGTGACGCACAGGAGGAGGAGGAGGAGGAGGAGGAGGAGGAGGAGGAGGAGGAGGAGGAGGAGGAGCAGGAGGAGGGAGGGAAAGAGGGGGAGAGCACGACCGAAGCCCCAGGCCCCATCTTTCTGCGCTGCCTTCTGGGCCGCATCGATCTGTGAGGGCCCCGGGCCCCAGAGCGGGCCGGAACGCCCGTGGAGAAGACAACGCAGCGCCAAGACGTCAGGGTCGTTGCTCTCGACGAGAAGAAAAAAAGGACAAACACACTGCATACATACAAAATGTGGGCGCTTCGCGGGTCCACACTGGACCCCCCTCCCTGGCACGCAGAGCGCGCCAGGGGCGGGTCCGGAGGCGCCGTCAAGGGGGTCCCGGCGCAGATCCAAGCCGTCCGCGCGGAGCACCAACAGTCTGTTGATGGCGTTTTCCTACTTCGAAAGATGTCAGGGTCGTTGCCCCTGACTCCCCGGGGATCCTCTGACCCAGGGTCAATCCAGACCCGGGTCAGTCAGGCCTTGCAGGGTCCTGCAAGGTCCTGCAGGGTCATGCGGGAGCCTGCACCCAAGCCCGGGCCAGTGCACCCCTGGCCCTGCAGGATCCTGCAAGATCCTGCAAGATCTGGCGCCCTGACTGTCGGGCGTTGGCAGAACTGGGTTTACTGGGACCTGGTTTAATGATGTGTCCTGTGGGGCGCCCCCCCGTCCCGCTCCACTAACCGGAACTGTCGTCTTCCGGAGTAAACACCAGCTACGGCAAACCAAGTTTAGTGACTCTGGCCAATCTAGGGGTTCCGGGGCCTTAACACTATAACCGGGGCCCCTCACCTGGCGCCCTGGCTATACCCGAGACTGGCCCCCGATTGCATTGACCCCCGCCCCTTGCGCCCCGAACTCCTGCTGCGCGCCTGGAGCCGGCGGCAGCGCCACCGGCTGCGCGCTCTGCTCCCCGCGCGGGGAGCGCGGCCAGGACGCGCTCGCCGAGAGGGGCGCAGCGCCGCCCTTGCCGGCCACAGAGCGGGCGGCTCCGTCGGACCTCGGCGGGTGGCGGCATCCGAACCCTGCCTTGGCGGCGCGCACAAGGGGGGGTGAGGAGGCGGAGGAGGAGGAAGAAGGAGGAGGCGGGAGGAAGGAATGGAATGGAATGCCCTTTTCGGGGAAAGCGCACAGCACTAAATGCTGAGCTCAGGTTCAAATTACTAGCCTCGAACTGCGGCCTCCTTAATACATATTGTCTCCATGAAAGCAGCCAACCGCAGCTCATATGGAGGGGCGGCCCCTGATGCCGAAGGACAGCTCACCACCGTAGAGTCAGGAACCGCAGGACTAAGATGGCGGGGTCCTTCCGACGGCCTGTTAGGGACCAGCCGAGCCAGGGGAACAGCTCTGTCCAGGACCCCCTGGCACTTCCTATCCGGGGATTTACCATGGAAAAAACAGCGGATAATCTCCTGACCTTTTCTTAGTGGGACGCACGCAGGGACCAGCCGACTTTAAAGCACGGCCCTGGCACCCCCCTTCACACTATGGGGAGATCCTGTGGACTAGTTCTGGGCCCCCCAGGAAGGCAGATTGCCACCAGGGGCTGCGTCCAATGCGAAGCGCCTGTGGGAGGCGATCTGATCTGGATCCCGCACTTGGCGCCGCCAGTTTTCGTGCGCATAGTACCGCTGCGCCATTGGACTTGGGCGCATCTGACATGAAAGTCTCAGACATAGGCGTCGCGACCTCATTACCTATAATTCTGGGAGGGTTATGACGTATCATGGTCATGTGGCCGCGCGAATTGTCATGTCAACTGCGATCGGGATTGATATCCCGCTCTGGATTTCGATATGTCTTCGCAGTTGGTGGTTGAACTCCCGATGCCTGTGTCTTCGAGACACTCGGAGAGTAGCGCGCGCACCAGCGCGCGCAAATAATGCAAGTCGGCATCTGCAAACTGAGCAGACACCGCCAAGATGGAATGCGTGCCGTCGAGTTCGGCGGCACGACGCTGACGCCCCGAGGCGCCATGGCGGCAGTAATTATCATCTGCTCGCTTGCGCCCGCCAACCTTCAAATTGTCGAACGTGGCCCGTGGGCCACAGGGCTGGGCGAGGAGTTGGGCACTGAAGCTGGGCGCGGCACTTACGCGCTAAAGCTGGACCCGCCAACAGCGGACGTGGCGACAAGCTCCCAAGGGCATGACCTTGGCCAGAGCTATCCGCGCGCTGGGAGGCTCACGGCCTCCACGGCGCACTGCTTGATCCAAAATGGCAACGGAATAGGAGGAGGGAAAGGATGAGGCGCAGCATCAGCAGCAGCGGCAGTGGCGGGAGAAGGGAGTGGCGGAGGAGGGCAGAGGATGAAGAGGAGGAACATGAGGAGGAGAAGGAGCATGGCAGCGGGAGGTAGGATGATGAGGAGGAGGGGGATGAGAATGAGGAGGAACACGAAAACTGGGGGGAGAAGGAGAAAGAGGATGAGCAGGAGGAGAAGGAGGATGATACATCGGAGGAGGAGGAGGAGGAGGAGGAGGAGGCTCGAGGAGGAGGAGGAGGAGGAGGAGAGGGGGAGGAGGAGGAGGAGGAGGAGGAGGAGGAGGAGGAGGAGGAGGAGGAGCAGGAGGAGCAGGAGGAGCAGGAGGAGCAGGAGGAGGAGGAGGAGGAGGCAAAAGGGAGGATGAGCATGAAGACGACGTTTCAGTGTCACGCTCAGCAGGCAGCTGGCTCATGCCATCTGACACTCTGAGCAGGTCTCAAGTCCAGCGGACGGCGGCTGTGGCATGGGCTCTCGCCCTTGTCCTCCTCCTCCTCCTCCTCTTCCTTGTCCCCCTCGTCCTCCTCCTCCTCCTCCTCCTCCTCTTCGTTCTCTTCCTTCTTCTCCACCTCCTCCTCGTCCTTTCCCTTCCTATGTGCCCGGGCGCCTCGACGTTTCGCCGATCGAGCTCCAGAAAATTGCTTTCGCCCAGCCCCTCAGGAAAGCCAGAGCCCAGAGCCCTACCCCAACCAGACGAAAACGCCTACCCGTGGGGCCCCTCATATTTTACTTCTACGGTTTGAGCGCATCCGCCCAAGCGGCAGACGCGGCCACGTCCTTGCCAGCAGCCTCCTTGGCTGCCTTGATGGCAGTCGCTCTCAGAAAGCAGCCCTCGTCCTTGGTGGCGATGCCCAGGCGGAAGCCGATATTGATCGAGTCGCCGATCACACGCTCGGCGAAGATGAAGCCTGGAATGTACGAAGGACGAGGATCGTGAGAAGGAGGAGGAGGTAGGAGGAGGAGGAGGAGGAGGAGGAGGAGGAGGAGGAGGAGGAGAAGGAGGAGGAGGAGGAGGAGGAGGAGGGAGGAAGGAAGGAGGAGGAGCAGGAGGAGGAGCAGGAGGAGGAGCAGGAGCAGGAGCAGGAGCAGGAGCAGGAACAGGAGCAGGAGCAGAAATAGAAGCAGCAGGAGGATGAGAAGCAGGAGGAGGAGGAGATGGGAAGGAAAGGGTGGATGAAAGGCGGTAGTAGGAGTTGCCCACTGCGATGCCTGCAGGCATGTAGTAGGTGGTGCTCGCATCCACTGTGATGTAGTACACGGAGGCTCCGGAGGCCACGTACTGCTGCAGAGACTCCTTGGACATTTGCTTCCAGTAGTTCGCCATCTGCGAAGTGTGCAGCACAGAGGTTTCAACTTTGGCAGTGTTGATCATGTACGTGTTCAGGTTCGTGACAGGCGTCGCAATCACCATCCTAGAGCCTGCCCAAGCCATGCGGAGCGAGGGCGCATAGTCTTTCTCGGTGCCAAAACTGTCGGGCCCGGGCAAGATGCCGAAAATCGAAGTAGTCATGAATGGCTTCACTCCCTCGGGGGCCTTGTTTACCAGGGTTGCTGTCTTGAGAATATGATCGATGCGCTCTATCAGGATCGTCTGAACAGCTTCGTTCGCCTTGCAAGATGTGCGGCTGTCTGTTTCCTTCTTAATCTTCTGTTCGTACTTGGTCACGAGGGCCAGGAACTCCTTCACGTGATCTGCGATCTGTGGCTTGTCCTCGAACGTCTTCTTCTTCGTCGTATCGCAAATGATGGCAAACGGCTTGTCGTACGTGATACCTGACTGGTCGGCGTCCTCATGGATTGTGTCGAAGGCGGTGCCAACTTGTGGAGCATACTCGAAGATGTTGCATGGCTCGGGCTTGCTTGGTGGCGTCTTTTCCTTCGGTGCTTCAGTCTTCTTCTTTTCAACGCTCTTCATCGCCTTGTTGATGTCGTTGTAGGCCTTGGTAGACGCCGACAGGAGGTCGACGATCGGGAGCTTTGCAGTCTGAAACCTGTTCGTGATGTCCTTGATGAGCGCCACGTCTAGGACCTGGTCCAGCTCGTCGATCAAGTTCTCGAAAGTATCAATGATGACGAGCTTCTTGTACTGGCCGCAGGGGGGCATCCTGCTGAGCTGCCTCGCCGCTACCGCTGAACTCGAATCGTCACCTCCTGACTCTTTCGACCGCGGGCCCCCCTTGGGATCGAAGCTCTCGATGAATCCAGAAAGGTCGGGGGGCGAATTCCCTAGTACATACTCGATCGCCTTGAGCCTGACCTCCACGAGAGACAGCTCCCCTGCGAACAGCTTCTGCTTCTCCTGGGGCATACCCTTGATCTGCGTCATGACGTTGTTGATCTTGGAGCTGATGTCCGTCAGGTTACCCTTCGTGGTGATAGCTTGCGTCCGGAGGTTCCTGCGCGCCACGTTGACAGCATTGCCAACGTCAACCCACTTCTCTTTCTTCGGCTTCTTCTTTGGTGGCTGGACAGCTTCGGCACTCCCACCCGAGCCCGAGGCGGCATTGGGATCGGTGGCTTTGCTACCAGCCTTACTGGTGGAGGACTCGGCTGCATCCTTGGCACCAGCAGCGCTTTCCCCGTCCATGTCTTCATCTCCAGACTCTTGAGCCTGAGCGGACTTCCCCAGCACTGTGATGTCGGGCAGTTGCATGGCGCAATCGTTGAATGCTTCTCCAGCCCCACTGCCCACCATGCTTGTAGCAATATTGTTCAGATCAACGCTGTTCTCAGAGTTGCCCATCTTGTCGAAGTTGCGGAAGACCTTGCCACGCATCTGCAGGAACGAAGCTTCCGTAGGCTTTTTGATAGCAGCGTCGGCGCGCTCCACCGATTTCGTCTGGTATGCCGTGTTTTTGAAACTTACCTCGTCGCTAGTGTGGATGCGAAGACGCAGAGGGAAGTCTTGGTTCGGACTCATGTTGTCGGCCTGAATGCCCATCTCCTTGTAGTTCGCCGCCATCTCGTCCCACTTGGCCTCGGCTACTTTCCAAGGCATTTTCCCGCCAGGGGTAGACTCCCAGAACTCGATGGCTTCCATCTCCCACATCATCTTACCGCCGCCAGTATACTCTACGCCCTGACTGGTCTGGAACTTCTCCTTGTACTGTGCGACGTTGAACTTGTGCTCCTTCTTGTTGTCGGTAGAAGCCAAAATAGTGCGATAGTGGTCCAGCATGCCCTTCACACCAATGTCGGTCCGCTTCTGCTCGGAAAACCACTTCGACTGACCCTGCGTCTTGCATTGCGAATAGATTCTGTCGAGTAGCCGCTTACAGTTGGTCTCGAAGCGCTGGTTATTCTCGAACTGCTCGCAAGGAAAGCTGTCGTTGCAGCCTGGGCAGACGAGGTAGCCCTTCCTGTCCTTCCTCTTCTTGGCGCTGGGTTTCGGCCTAGGGACAGATACTTCCGGAAGTGGAGATGGAGGCACATCGTCGACGGGCGTCGACGCGCCGCCCAGTGAGGCGCACTCTCCGTCAGCCGCTAGCACGAGCTCCGTGTTGTCAGACATGCTCGCTCGCAGTAGTTCTGGACACGGCCGAAACTATTCTAGAAGGAGCCCAAACGGCTATGGAAGGAGAGGGGATGAGGGCAAGAGCAGCAGCAGCACCAGCGGCACGAGAGCCATTCATATTTAATACTATGATCGCGATTGTGCGTCTTGCCTTTCTTCAGCATTATGGTTTCTAACACATCGTGCGACTCTGCCAGGCTTGCCTGGGTTACCAACCTTGAACTTTCAGATCCCCCCTGGGGCCCTGGGAGGCAGCCAAGGGGCTGCCCTGCAGCTACAGCCTGATTGATCTACGACGCCTCCTGGGAAGGGGGAGGATGACGAGGAGGAACAACTTACGCCAAAGGTCCGCCCTGGGGAGGGGGGCGGGAAGGTGAGCGAAGGTTGTTATGAGGAAGAGGAGTGTTTGGAAAACGAGTTGGGTCCTTCGCCACATTGGCGTCCCTCCACCAGACTTCATCAACCTCTGCCTTTACTTCTGAGCCAACTTGCGACAGCCTTGACCTCTCTCTCGGGGGGGGGAAGGGGGGGAACTTTCACTGAAATGCTTCCGTGTTCGGCCTGTTGTGGAGGTGTTGTGGCCAGTTTCGACACTTGCTGGCTTCCACCAGGATCTCCGGGATTCTGTCGCAGACCTCCGTTGTTCAAGTGTGGTCCTTGAACCTGCGCTCGTCAATGCACTTTATGTATGCATGCAAATGTTTCCACAAAATCCACGTGGCAAAACATGTAGTGCAGATCCGCTGTTTTTGCGACCTTGTATTGGTGTCTGCGCGTGGGTTTCTGCAGTGAAAAATCCACACTTGAACAACGGATGCTTCTGAACAGGGCGGCCGTAACCAGACACACCTCTTAGGTGTGCGCGCCGAGCCCCCCACGCGTCCATGGGGCCAGCCACGCGGCGCGCCGTGGGCCCTCGATGGGGCCCAGGCCCAGGCAAGCACCGCGAAGTCTTCCGAGCCGCATCCGGGAGTGGCGACGAGGGGGCCAGGACCATGGAAGGAGAAGGGGGCAGGAGGAGCAGAGGAAGGAAGAGGAGGAGGAGGAGGAGGAGGAGGAGGACGGGAAGGCTACATGATTGCTTTCGCGGGTGGGGGTCCTCACCACCAAGGACAGTGCATCTCCAGGCGCTCTAGCTGGTGCACGGTGCTTACCACGGATCAACCCTCCATGTCAGAGTCGCTGCTGTCGTGCATGCAACGCGCTGGCACTGTGCACAACAACAGAATTCCCAAAACCGACCCAACGGTCGGAATATGCATCATGTTGCCAGAAAAAATCCTGGCGTCGTTGGGGGTCATCTTGAGGAACACTTCAGGGGGCACGACCATCAAGTCAGGATCGATGTCCGAGCAGAAGAGTGGCACTCCATTCACGCCAAAATGCTCGACTTCACACAGCATCCGATTGGACTGGAAACTCCAAATGATGGTATTCTTCTGGAGGGTCGGAATGACATGGTAGAGCTTCTTGATGTGCCATGCGTTCTGGCTGAGGTCGCAGATGACGCCTTCGGTGTTGTCTAAGCCGCCCCGTAGGTTGTCATGCGCCTTCAAGCGTTGGCGGTTGCCAAAGCCGAGAGCATGACGCCACGGGAACAGCGGGATCGGCATCTCTCCAAGCACGACGCCTCGCCGAATAAGTAGATCACGGAGCCTGGCCTCGACGACGTCGCTAGGAGCACGGAAGAAGATGTCAGACGTCATAGACACTTTGCGGTGCACGGTGCGTTTGAACAGGCGAGCGTGCGAAACGATTTCGGATATTGACTCTTTCAAGAATGCTGTAGTGTATAGGCGCATTCTTTTGCAAGGTACGCCGAGGTGTTCGGGAGAAATCTTGAACGTGTTGACGTGGTACAAGTTCGGCATTAGAACATCGAAGAATCGATCCACGGGCCAAAGCGGGGTGCATTCGTTCAGGATGTAGTCTGGCTTGAATTCGCACATCCACGCGCCCCAAGCTAGCGATGCCAACGACTCCTCATCGAGCCAGCCTAGTCGGCCACCCCGGGCGGCCCAGGGCGTGCACGTGTTCCCGCCGATCTCAATCCACAATTGTTTGCCACCCACCTTGGGCACGACTTGGCACTGAGACATGCACTGGTGGCACATGCAGGTTGCTGAGCGGTCCCACTGTATCTCCTTTAGCTTCTCGGCGGCCCTTACCAGGAAAACGCCCCCCAATTGGTTGATTTCACTCTGAGACATCATGCCGCCCTGGACCCTAAATCGACAGAAAGCTTGCAGCTCGCGGAGCTCCTCTAGGGTACTGGGCGGGATTCTATCTAAGATGTTCTCGAAGATGTGGGCGGGGCTGTCTGCATGCTTCTTCAGCACATCGCGGCACCCGGGTGATATTTCAGTGGCGCTGTAGATCTCAAAATTCAACCAGAAGCCTTTCTTGCGCAGAGCCTCTCTCAAGAAAGCTGCAGCCCACTCTGCCGATCCGACTCCAGAGTAGCTAGTCGTGAGAACCACTGACCATCCTTCGAGCAGGTAGAGGCGTTCATCAAGGGTGTCGTAGTACTTCGGGTCGCCTGCCTCGGCGAACACTGTACCCAAGCGCTCAACTAAGTGCTCCGCAAACTTAAAGATATCATCATGGGTTCTCGGTCCCTCGGGCAATCCTGAATTTGGCTGAGGCGCATTCCCTTCACCCCTGCGCTGACGAACGGCACCGACTGGATCCAAGTCGGGTTCCAACTCCATCAGTTGTCTGTATAGCTGCTCAGCAGTTGCTGAGCATGGTGCCAAAACGGCTGCGGGACAGCGACGGCAACGACGACGATGACGGACAATTATGGTTGGTTGGGAAGGGGAGGGTGGAGGAGGAGCAGGACCTTTGAAGGAGGAGTAGTGGCTTGAAGCCCCTGGCCCTCCCCAGAATTTTAGGAGGTTCAGGGCAGTGCTAGTCCAGAGCTTCAGGGGCCTTCGTATTCTTCCCTGACGGTGCGAGCGTGATGTGACATTGACAATGATACACAGTAGTGCACATCGCACGGCACATAGGCACCTGGGAGTAAGTTTTAGTCTAGAGCTTTAGCGATATCATTTGAAAGTGATTGTAGAACGCTACATTCGGCGCGTACGTCGCGCGCAGTTGTTCGGATACTGAGATTCGGTCTGGTATCGACACTCCCAGCCCCGAATGCCTCCAAGTAGCCTCTGAGACAAGCTAGACGCCGCTGCCCTGACAAGAGTTGCCCAATCCAGCATCACGGAGCGGCAAACGTGCCAGATCCTGGCCATATGCCGCCCTGGATCCCCAAGCGCGCCCAGACGCCCCGGGGCCTCGCCGAGCACCTTCCGAGCACCCTCCGAGCACCTCCGAGCACTTCCGAGCACTGGTCCGAGCACACTCCGAGCACTCTCCGAGCACCTCCGAGCACTCACCTCCAGGGGGGTCTGAGGGACCCTTCGAAGTCAGTTGGGGCCCCTTTCGGTCTGCTGGGGCCTGGGGTTGTCCTTGGGGTGCATTTTGGAACCCCTGGGGCTCCAGAACGCTTGTTTGAAGTGGAATCGGGCTCCGCCCTGGCTTCCAGAGGATGCGAAGCAAGGATTCGAGACCTTTCCTGGAATGCCAGGCAGGATATGACGTCTTCACAACAATTCTTGGGGAGTTTAGGCACACAGCACAGACGCACAGCTCATGCGAAACGCTTGTGTCGCAATCGTGTACAATCGCATGCATAACTTGGTACTCTCCAACAACATGCCATCATGAAGGGTCAAATGTAAAGGATAGATTGATCAACCCCCAGCCCCCGAACATTTCATCATGACAAGCTGCGGCTACAGTGTCTCCCTGTAGTCTCAGTCTGAATCCGACGAGCTCGAGCTCGAGGACGACGAACTCGAGCTGGAGCTGCTGTCTTTCGAGGAAGCTGCAGAGTCAGCCGCTGCGCCTCCCCGGCCCCGCCGACCGCGCCCACGACCGCGACCGCGTCCGCGACCGCGACCTCGTCCTGCAACTGCTCCAGGTGGTGCAGCATCCGCAGCTTCAGCCGCAGCCTCTGCAACCTCATCATCTAATTCGATGTCTGTCTTGACTGGATGTTCAGGCCCATGCTCTATCTTGTTTTCCTCGATGATCCGCCTATCTGGAACTAAGGAAAGATCCAACTTGCATGGTAAGATGTGGGTCCTGTCGATCGCAAGCGTGTGCCTGATTGCACCAGTTCCTCAGGGCCCACATGCATTTTTCCAGCTCTTCCTGAGTTGCAGCTCTAAGACTAATTGATTTTGTGCATTTGGACTTGCTGTTCAAGCGGTGGAAACAACACGTAGCCTGCATATTGCCAAACGGCCTTAATCCAGAGCTCTTTGCACTAGTAAACGTGAAAGGTCCCCATGGGTTGTCTCTGCAGAATCTCCTCAAGGTCTCGTCCCAATTTGGCACCGGAGGCCCATGAGGGACCTCGTCTGGGGCTTCAGGAGCAGCAGCGTCAGGGACCTCGTCAGGGACCTCGCCTGGGGGTTCAGGAACAGGAGCAGCATCAGAGACCTCAGGCACTGGCAGTGGCGGTGGTTCGTAGTCTTCGTCGGCGGGAATCCTCGGGCTGCCTGGGGCGTCGCCTCCAGACTCTTGGCCCCCCTCGTCAGATGTAGCCGAAGGCATTTTATCCGAAAGCATGTCCGACAACGCCTTTTCAAATTCATCGAAGCCTTCCTCGTCTTTAGCGTCATCGGGCGGTCGCAATGCTAATTCAGGGCCTTCGACAACTTCACCTTCGACTGCATCGATATCATCTTCCAACATTGCAAATCCCAAATGGACATCCGTCGGTTGCCTGCCATCCAAGACAGCCTTGTAGTCCATAGCTGGGCGTGGCGACCAATGCGGGATGGAGACTAGCCCACCGCCCATGTGGAACAGACGATCGCAATCCAGCAGCGCGTGTAGGTAAGCCCTCACCACGGTAGTAGATTGACTATACCAGATCTTCTCCCCGCCTCTCACGTATCGCAACGCCAAGCGGTCCTCAGTCTTTCTCG